GTAAGGAGTGTAGTTCTCATTCTTTGATTATTATCTTTTTTGGTGCATTCAGACTAGTTGGATTTTCCCCTATCTTTCCTTTTTAGTTTCTCTCATCCCTCTATTTTTGGGTTACGCAGACGGAGAGGAATGAAAGAACTTTCGAGAATTTTACCTTTTATTTTGCTCCTATTAATGATAAGTTGGTTAAGACCCTTTGGATTTTGATTAATTGCATCCCAATCAAGATGAGTTGGATCTTTTAAAATATATGTAAACTTGAGAAGTATGTAACTTTGATCTTTTCCTCCCAGTGACACTGGTAGGAGGAAAGAGGTCAAGGTTTTATGGTGCAGGGCAATTGTTTTTGGTTTTATGGGTTATTTTGTTGTATAGAAATACTCAGGTTTTTAGAGATCTTGTCTATCACTTTTTCTTTTTTTTCGGTAAGGTGTTGGTTTTGGTGTCTCTTTTGACTAAGATGCATAGTCTTTTTTTTGGATAGACAAAGAAGTTTTATTGTGAAAAAGAGGGAGCAAATTCAAAGAGGAGAAGGTGTCCTCCTAATTGTATCAATAAAGAAAAGAGAAAAGATCAACACAACATAAAATAAAGTATATTATGAGATAATGAGGAATTCATTCTCTCAGTAGCTCATGAGAAGTGTGTGTTTATCATTGACGATTCCTCCACTCCTTGCAAGCCATAATGTTTATAAACGGGTGAAGATGGCCTCTCTCCTCAATAGTTTTGCTTCCTTCCTTATCCCATCGCCTTTTATATACGTATAGGACAATTGTAGCATGGGCTTTCTGAAACGCTTTAGCAATTTGAAACTAGCTTAACAGATGGTTTGATAAGATGTATGAAGAAAAACTTGAATGCGTATATTTAATGGTTCCAAAAACTAGGTTTTAGTGTTTGATTGGGATGATAGGTGAACCAGATTCAATAATCCCAATAGATTTTGCAATTAAAGGGTCTTCCTATCCGAAAGGTTATAGGTGAAAATGGAAGTTCTAGGCCATGATCCCTCACTGATGGAAATGAATTGTGAGATGGGGTATTATTGCTTCATGAAAGGTTAAACAAGTGAAGGAATTGAGAGGATAAAGCTTGATCTCCCATCTAGGTGTCTTTACAAAAGTTACTCTAATAAATTAATAAATTATTATTAATTTATTAATCCAATTAACTAATTAAAATCATTATTTTGAACTAACTTTTAAGGTATTCAAACGCGATCTAACTATTTTAACTTTTTCGATTAGAATATAGAAGGAAACTTGATGTTTCAAACAAATAAAAAAAAATCATGAATCAAATTATAACAAAAAAAATTAGGAACCGATTGTTTTTTTTTTTTGAAATAAAAAGAAATATTATAACAATGGTACCAAGGGGGGTACCACCCATTTTACATCATTTACATCTCAATCAATTGATCTAACACCAATCCAAATTACTCAATCTTTTGTATCATGTCCCAAGAACGAAAAACTAAAAGTATAAAACCATCTATTCTTAATGATGTTAAAGTCATTCTCAATCCTGTTAAAAGCTCTAGAATTCTCTCTTTCCGCACAGCCCACATTAACGATAATGGAATGAGCATTAAATGTTTTTGCTTCTTACACAATCTAGCCCATGCCCACAATTCGTCCTTAATCGTTCCTGCTATAACCCATTTGATTCCCATCAATCCATAAATGGATGTCCATAAATCATAAACCATCGGACACCACAATAAAAGGTGGTTGCAAGATTCAGCGTTGCATTTGCACAAGTAACATCTATTAACCATGCATATTCCCGTCCTCATGAGCATTCCTATAGTCAGTATACTTCCTCTACAAGCTTCCCAAGCTAAAAAAGCCATTATTGGCGGCGCTTTGGTCTTCCGAACATGCTTGAATGGAAAATCAGAATCTGCATTCACCATCCCTCTCTCAAGATGTCGATATAGGGATTTTACAGAAAATAATCCATATTTTTCCAGCATCCATTGTTTACATCTCAATCAATTGATCTAACACCATCCCAAATTCCTCTAAATACTTTATATCATGTCCCAAGAACAAAAAACCAAAAGTATGAAACCTCTAAATTAGGCACCAATTGTTACAAGTACCAAATTTTGAAATTAATAGTCATTTGTCCTTAAATCTTTTGCCAAAACTTAGTACATATATATATATTTTGAAATAAAAGTGTGAGAATTATATTGACAAGGTATCAAAAGGGGATACCACCAATGTACAAAAGATTTACATATATATAATGGGGTTCAAATATATATATATATATTTAATTTTTTATTATATATAATTTTTTTTAATTGTTTTGGTCTAGACCGGGATCAGACTGTGATTGGACCTGAATGGCCGGTTCTTCCAGTCCTAAGACTCCAGGACCGAGGACCGGACCATACTTTATTCTGTTTGGTCTAGTCTGGACAGAGCAACCAGTTCTACTCTAGTTTTCTGGTCTGGACCGGACTGTGCACAGCCCATTCCCGTGGATACTGTTATGTTGAGACATGGATCGTCCTGCTATGGATGTGCCCTTTTCTTGGCTCCTCTTAGTTTAATGGAAATATATTGCTTTAGATTTGAATTTGTAATAAATGCCTTCGATGATGAGTAACTTTGAAGGTGAATAGTACTAAAGTTTCTTAAAGGAGCTACTTTATGCATTATTTTCATGTTGCGATGGTTAGGTATATCCGTGGTCATCCAATATTGAGCAATTAAATGACTTATCAGTCTATAACAGAACTTAACATTATTTCAAAGAAAAAAAAAAACAGAACTTAACACAAAAGTTTGGCCTCTTAATTGTGTGAAGTGTAATGCATTTGTAATTTTGGTGGCGGCGGCGTTTGATTGAAAATATTGGTTGAATGTGCATATGGCTAGCTTCTCATTTACTTTTTGATTTCCATATGAAGAATTCATGAGGGACCGACCTGCAGTTTCCATGTGATGCCATGCGAAGTTCTTTGCTGATTTATTGTACTAAGGAGGTGCACAAAATAAATATATCTAATATGTGATTTGTTCTTCATTTTTTGACTCAGGAGATATTTTCATTTATAACAATGTAATCAAAATACAAAATCTATTTTTTACATACAAATGATGTTATAAGCTGTATATGAAATTTTTTTTAATGCAAGCTATGACCAAACTATGATTTCATAACCTTGACCACCATTGTTGAACTTGGAAATTTGACTTTTTAAAAGGGGGATTTGCTGTATGTATCTCGACTTATGTTGTCTTATTTTGTTTTCCTGGATACGATATATTACATGATATTATTGTTTGGTATTCCTCTTTGAATCAAGGATTGCAGATGAGGTCATTTCTTAATTCTTATATTTTGTTAGGTTACATCATTGCTTAATGATGCAAAGGCTGGCCTTCCCTTGAATGCTCCCGGAGGCTCTTCTAGTACAAATACGGCCACAAGCCATTCATTACCTTCTATGTTTCCTGCTGGCAGTGCCCCTCCACTTTCACCCAGGAGTACATCTGGTTCCCCTCGTATAACCAAACAGAGGGCTGGTCCTTCTAATTTAGGTTCTCCATTGAAAGTGGTTAGTGAACCTGTTAAAGAGTTGATACCTCAGGTTGGATGCTTTTTTATACTAAGCTGCTATCTTCTATTTTCCGGTTGCTGTCTAGCTTCTAGTTTATTTTCCTTGGAAAAGTAGTTGGTAATGCCATTGTGTAAATTGAAATCTTGCAGTTCTACTTTCAAAATGGTCGCCCGCCTCCAAATGAACTAAAAGACCGATGTCTATATCAAATCAATCAATTTTTCTATGGCCACCCAGATGGACTGCAGATACATGGTTAGATGCTATAAACATCAGCCTGGTTAGTGCTTCTTAGGCTAATATGTTAATTCTATTTTTGTTCTTTTTATTTCAGAATTCAAATTAGTTACTAAAGAAATATGCAAGCTGCCATCCTTCTTCTCCACAGTTCTTTTCAGAAAGATTGATGTTAATAATACAGGCTTTATAACGAGGTATGGCTTCTTTTTGAAGTGATTCCACTTGGTGGCATATGTAGGGTAATTGCTCTTTTTATTTTTTGTTCCTTTATTTTCCTGATCTTTCAGCTCAACTGTCTGAATTACCCCTGGTTTCTCCTTTCTCCTCTTTCCCCTTCAGATTTTGATATATATTCTTTGGAAGGAAAAGAGCCTTTACCAGTAAGGCGTTACTTTACATAAAAAGGTTGGAAAAGTATTTATAAACTTCTCTAACTTACCTCCTTCAAAGGGAGGATGACCTTTGAACAAAGGAGACAATGCCTGAACTTTATACATGAGCTCTGTTCGGGATTTGGATCTTGAAGTTGATTACATAAGTGTATATACAAGTCTGAAGAATGCAGATGACTACACCAGGATTAGGAAATTCATGAAATAACTGGGTGACTTTTTTTAGAACATTAATGGATAATATTTCAAAATTGAATGTTCGTTCTATTCTAGTACCTATTAAGGATATGAAGAAGAGAAATCTGGTGGTATACAGTACATTAGTGGTTGGTTGGATCCACTTAGGAAAGCATATGTGAAGGACAAGATCTGTTCATGCTCTCTGAAGAGTCTTCCTCCCTTATCAGAGTGCTAGGTGTCACAAAGATGGATTTCTATTTTTTATGCATAAGAATCAGCACTAAAGAAGGAGAAATGCACTTTTTCCTGTGAAGATCGATATGAGATTGTCCTTTTTGCTTATTTCAAAAAAAAAAAAAAAAGAAAAGAAAAGAGAATGTCCTTTTTGCAGTATGGTTGTTCTTAGATTTTCTTTTGATCTATTTTCAGAGATGCATTTGTTGACTATTGGATCAATGGAAATATGTTGACGGTGGACATGGCAACCCAAATATTTTCAATATTGAAGCAACCTGAACTCAAATACCTTCTCCAGGTGCTTTTCTGTTTTGCTGCATATTTACTCTGCATTTTAACTTTTTATTTTATTTGAATAGAAATCTAGAAAGCAGTTGCAATTGTTTTTTTTTTCTTCTTCTCTCTCTCTCTCTCTCTCTCTCTCCTGTTTGCAGTTGAAGGTTTTTGCAACTTCTTTGTAAGTGCATGACTTGCTTATAGTTTGAAAATTTGTAATTAAACTTTTTTGTTTACTGAATTTTTATTCATGATACTTAACTTGCAACAACTGAATACATATTGGAGAAGATTAGAGAGATTTTTAGTAGAAAACTAAATATAAATCAGTTCTATTAAAGGAAAAAAACTTCCAGTTATAGAAGTTGACTATGATTCTATTTTATAGAGAGATTTCTATGAAGATACCAATTTGTATAGGAATTGGATTTCTGTAAAAAGTTGGATTCCTACATGGTCATTCTATCTTTTTAGATTGTTTATCTTTTTCTTCACAGGATGATTTTAAACCCATTCTTCGTGAGCTCTTGGCAACTCATCCTGGTTTGGAGTTCTTGCAGAGCACACCTGAGTTTCAGGAAAGATATGGTAGGTTAAATTTCTTCCTTTGATGTGATTTTGTACTTCTTTGATTTATTTATTTTAAATCATTTTTCCCCTTTAATGTTTTTGCCATTGGAATTTTGATAGTTAGTCACCTAATTGCTTTGGTATAAATAAGGAAATAAATGGACCTCATTGAAATGCTACCTGTATAGCGTAAGTACAGAAAGAACCACCAACTTTCTTTTTATAAATATAAAGTATGTGCTGCAAATTGAGATAATACTATCAGGAAATGGTGTTATTTTTGACAGAAAAACAAGCAATACTCTATACTAGGCACCAATTGCAAATATAGATATTTACAAATTTGTTATTGCTCTTCATCAAGAGGGTGCTATTGAACATATTGCTTCCTTTTGCCCAATTGCAGTTGTATAAAAAAATTGAGCTATTTTCTTTTGTAATGGGTGGTACCCCCTGTTTTCTTGGTACCATGTTAATATATATTCGTTACATTTTTTATTTAAAAAAAAAATGGGTTATTTTGCAGAAAGAAGTTGATTGGATAATTAGGTCACTCTACCTTTTGCTAAAGTTTTCAACCCATTTAAATTCTTGGTGTGTTTTTTTATTTCTATAGCACTTTGTAAATGATTACTTGTTAAAAGCTCCTAAACAAGTAACGTCATTTTTGGTTAAAGAATTAGAAGAGAGATGTGAAACTCTGAAGAAAGGATATGGAGCAAAAGGTAGTGGAAATAGAGAACATAGTAGGTCAATGTGAGATGTCTGGAGAACCTTTGTTAACCCAGTAAAAAAGTCCAATTCAACATCATTGATGGTGTATAATCCTTGTTGTTTACATTGCTAAGTATAATTCTTTCTTTAGGCTTTCCACTTACTTGGCCTTAACAAGGAAGTAGAAATGGAGAACTTATTAGGTCCAGAAGAGATGTGTTGAGAGATTAGCGGGTTTGGTTATATCTAAGCCTGGTATCTTAGGTCCAATGAACCATCATTGAGGGTGGTATTATCAATAATAAATTGCCATGTACTTCCTTCTGAGCCCCCATGCTGCTAACATACAACTCTTTCATTAGCCCTTTTGCATTAACTTGCTCTTAAGGTTATATGGTGCTATCAATAGAATGTGAGGTAACTCGTGTGTTACTTGTCCATGTTGATTTTGTAGCTTATGATGTGTGTTCTTTTTACACGGAAAATTTTCCCCATAAAAGTGGCAGGAGAGATGAAGTTATATTACTCTGGTGGTTTGTCAAATAAAATTGGTAAGAGACATTTGGAAACAATTTAGTGTAAGGGGTTGCAGGTCACAGAAGTGTCCTATGAATATCCATTCTAATGTAGCACTGCCGCAATTTAATAATTTGCATAGTTGGTTTAATAGAACTGTTCCACAAAGCTAACCAATCTAGCCTAGATCACAATGAGCATCTTTTGGGCTTTGAGATATTCTAAATCTGGATTCTTTTATTTCCTTGATTCTATTAAAGATTCTGTTTGTCTTATGACGGCTTTCTAACTGAAATATTTATTCTGATGGACCAGCTGAAACTGTAATATATAGAATATATTACTATATAAATAGATCTGGGAATGGTCATATTACCTTCAGGGAGCTGAAACGCGGAAACCTTATTGATGCAATGCAACATGCTGATGAAGAAGAAGATATCAACAAAGTGTTGAGGTAGAGACTGGCTTGGATTCTGCTTGTAAAAGAGACCAGTTGACTGTCCAAGTTGTGTGTAGTAGTAAATTCAAAATGCATTTATTACGAGATCTTAGATGATCTGGAATTTCATTTATAGTTGTATTCTTTTGCACGTGATGTATGTACCTGGTATCCAATTATTAACATGTTGACCTTTTTTCTCTTCCTATCATCTGTACAGGTACTTTTCATATGAACACTTTTATGTTATATACTGCAAGTTTTGGGAACTGGACACGGATCATGATTTCTTGATCGACAAAGAGAACCTTATCAGATATGGTAACCATGCACTTACCTACCGAATTGTGGATAGAATCTTCTCTCAGGTATTGTTAGTTGGATCGTACATTTGTTCTTACGCCAACTTACCTGCTACATAACATGTCTATATTGTTGAGTATTTAGTGTTGGAGTTCTCCTCCCGTCTCTTCTTTTTTTTTTTGCTTATGTAATGTTTAATCTAAATGTTTCTATGCTTTAATATCACTCAGATTCCTAGAAAGTTCACTAGTAAGGTTGAGGGAAAGATGGGCTATGAAGATTTTGTCTACTTTATACTGGCAGAGGAGGACAAGTCGTCCGAGCCTAGTCTGGAATATTGGTAAGATATTTTTATGGACATCATATCTGTCAAATTCTCAAGGGAAAATGGGGTACTTGCTACTCTTTGCAGAATATTCGTGATGTTGCAATGTTTTTATTAGGTTCAAGTGCATTGATTTGGACGGAAATGGAATCATCACACGAAATGAGATGCAATTCTTTTATGAGGAGCAGTTGCACCGGATGGAATGCATGGCACAAGAGCCTGTGCTTTTTGAGGATATTCTGTGCCAGATAATCGACATGATTGGGCCTTTGGTGTGTCTTTCACCTTTTATCACTGTTTTAACTATTTCCTGATTAATTAAGATGTATGTAGGTTCATGCAATGACAATTTGCCTTTTGACAGCCTTATGTTATTTCGTGTTCCATACCAAGTTCCAATTTTTATTTTAATTTTTTTGAAAAAAAAAGTGTAAATTTTATTACTATAGGCACCAATGAGGTGCAACCCATATACAACAATTTACAACTCAGCCGCTATGAAGCAAAAATTTCTAAAAGCCTCCATGACCACTAGTGACCAACCCATCAACAAAAGCTCTAGGGTCCTAAACCATCTATTCTTTAGGATATCAAAATCTTTAGAATCATCAACACCATTAAAAGCCCCTCCTGTTCGTTTCCTTCCATACCA